CCCCTCAACCACATCTCCCTATCACTTTGCATAATTTCTAGGAGGAGGAAGGGGAAGATTCGGTCAAATATTGCTGCAGTTCTTATACTGTAATCATACCACTTTGTAATATAAAATTTCCCCACTTTTTCCATGATAAAGATAGCTGTAGGCAAGGTGTGGTGGCTCACAACTATAATCCCAGTGCTTGAACCCGGAAGGTAGAGATTTCAGTGAGTTGAGATTGCACCACTGCACTCCAGCCTGGACAGTGACAGAGTCACACACTGTCTCAAAAAAAAAAATTAAATAAATAAACAGTGTTTCCTCTTTTATATAGCTATATAGACATAGATATATAACCATATACCATACCTGGATATAGACACACATAGAGATTTCTTTGTTCAAAACTGGGGGCTCAAACAATGTGTATGTTCTGCAACTTCCTTTATTCATGTGACCTGTCATGAGCATATTTCCATGGCGTCACTTATTTTGAATCCCAATGTTTATATTAAATCACATTTTAAACTGTGTTTACTGTATTCTTCTAAGACATTTATGCTATTTTAATGTACTGGTATGTATGTATGTATGTATGTATTTATTTAGCGATAGAGTCTTTCTCTGTCACTAGGCTGGAGTGCAGTGGCATGATCTCGGCTAACTGCAACCTCCGCCTCCTGGGTTCAAGTGATTCCCCTGCCTCAGCCTCCCTAGTAGCTGGGACTACAGGTACATGCCACCATGCCCGGCTGATTTTTTGTATTTTAGTAGAGATGGGGTTTTGCCATGTTGGCCAGGATTGGTCTCGATCTCCTGACATTGTGATCCGCCTGCCCCAGCCTCCCAAAGTGCTGGGATTACAGGCATGAGCTACTGCACCCTGCCAGAAATGTATTGGTATTTAATATATTGATATGAAATATTACATTTGTTAGCAAATATTTTATACACACAGATACAAAAAGCATCTGTATACCTACTGTCGTACTTAAAGGAACATTGTTATTATAATGCCATTGATTAACTCTACATACCTTTTCTGAATCTCATTTCCTTCCTTACTTTCAGAAGTAACTACTGAACTGAATTTTATGTTGGAAGTTATCATTTATGACATTAAATGATATTCTCTTTTTAAAGTTTCCAGTGGCGATTGGAGTACCACAGTAACTGAGAATGTTCATAGTATTGCTGTGAAAATTCTTATATATGTGGCTCCTTGAATCATACAAGTTTCTTCTCTTTTTTTTTTTGAGATGGAGTTTTGCTCTTGTTGCCCAGGTTGGAGTACAGTGGTGTGATCCCGGGTCACTGCAACCTCAGCCTCCTGGATTCAAGTGAGTCTCCTGCCTCAGCTTCTCAAGTAGCTGGGATTACAGGCCTACGCTGATAACACCTCGCTAATTTTATATTTTTAGTAGAGACGGGGTTTCTCCATATTGGTCAGGCTGGTCCCGAACTCCCGGCCTCGGGTGATCTGAACGCCTCAGCCTCGCAAAGTGCTGGGATTACAGGCATGAGCCACTGTTCCCAGCCTCTTTTTTTTTTTCTTTTTGAGACAGAGCCTCACTCTGTCACCCTGGCTGGAGTGCAGTGGTGTGATCTTAGCATAGCCTCAACCTCCCAAGCTCAAGCCATCCTCCCAACTCAGCCTCCCAAGTAGCTGGGACTTGAGGCATGTGCCACAATGTCCAGCTAATTTTGTTTATTTTTTGTAGAGAATAGGCCTCACTATGTTGCCCAGCGTGGTCTTGAACTCCTGGGGTCAAGCGATCCTCCCACCTAGGCCTCCCAAAGTACTAGGAATAGAAGCGTGATCCACCCCACCCAGCCTACTCGTGCAAGTTTCTCCTGAGTGTCTTCCTCAGGTGGAATTGCTGGGTCGTAGAAATTGCATGTGTTCAATGTTACTGAATAAACCATATTGTTTTCCAGAGGGCTTGTTCCAATTTACTGTACTTTAGAAGGCTATTAGCACTGAATAACTTTTTTAAAAAGAGTACATGATTCTAACATAATTAGCCATTAGAAAATTTGTGGCTGGGCATGGGGCTCACTCCTGTAATCCCAGCACTTTGGGAGGCTGAGATGGGCAGATCACTTGAAGTCAGGAGTTTGAGACCAGTCCTGCCAATATGGTGAAACCCCATCTCTACTAAAAATACAAAAATTAGCCAGGCATGGTGGTGCACAACTGTAATCACAGCTACTTGGGAGGCTGAGGCAGGAGAATCACTTGAACCTGGGAGGCAGAGGTTGCAAGATTGCTCCACTGCACTCCAGCCTGGGTGACAGAGAGCAAGAGCAAAATATATACAGGTTCTTCACTAGATTGTTATTATTTCAGACCCCGATTAGGCACCCGCCCCCCCATGAATTGTATAATTTTTTTATCTCATTATTTTAAAATGTCAGAATTCATCCTCTGAATCCTTTATCAGAACCACGTCCCACAGACGTGGTGTTATGGTAAACTGAGGAACGGAGAGACTGATATGGGAAAACAGAAGGATATTCATTTTAAGGTATGCACTGGCTCAGTGGATTCACATCTAAAAAGCTGAGCACTGAACAAAGACAGTGCGGGGTTTTTATAAGCAGACTTACAAAAGCAAAACAAAGGCAGTTAATCATATAGTGCATAACTTGTGGCCTTGCATACCTGGTGACCTTGTAGCTGCGTCAAAAGAAAAACAAGAACTGGCTAAATACATCTGTAAAACATAGTCATGCTTAAGAAGCTAGGGAAAAGAATGGCTGGGCGCAGTGGCTCACGCCTGTAATCCCAGCACTTTGGGAGGCCAAGGAGGGTGGATCACATGCGGTCAGGAGTTCAAGACCAGCCTGGCCAACATGGTGAAACCCTGTTTCTACTAAAAAAGTACAAAAAAATTAGCCAGGCATGGTGGCACACGCCTTTAATCCCAGCTACTCGGGAGGCTGAGGCAGGAGAATCGCTTGGACCCAGGAGGGAGAGGTTGCAGTGAGCCAAGATCACGCCATTGCACTCCAGCCTGGGCGACAGAGTAAGACTCTGTCTCAAAAAAAAAAAAAAAAAGAAGCTAGGGAAAGGAGTAGCAGTAAAGGAATTTGTCTCTCTCTCTCTCTCTTTTTTTCTCTTTCAACATTGCTCTGGAAGCAGGAGAGGTGTCTGGAGCCTATTCCTTTGGCCTTGGCTTTTCGGTCAGTGTTATTTTATAACTGTCCTTTAAGTGAGAGGAAAGCTTGTTTCTTTTCTTTTTAACCTTTGTCTTGCCTGTTACTTTTCTTGGAGTGAATGAATGCATATTTATTTTAAAATTTTCTGCCTCACTGGCAGATATTAAACTGGATGTCCCCAAAAACCTGCAACCATTTTCTTACTAATAAAATCTGGAAATATTATTTATTTAGTTAGTTTTATAATAAAGACAGGGCCTTGCTTTGTTGCCCAGGATGGTCTTGAATTCCTAGGCTTAAGCGATTCTCCTGCCTTGGTCTCCCAAAGTGCTGGGATTACAGGCGGGAACACCGAGCCTAGCCTCAAAATCTGAAAGTATTGAATTTAGGACACATCCAATCCAAGAGCATCAGGCCTCTTGTTACTGGATAGAATTGTGTTTTGGTGGCCAGGCATGTTGGCTCATGCCTGTAATCCCAGCAGTTTGGGAGGCCAAGGTGGCCAGATCACTTGAGGTCAGGAGTTCGAGACCAGCCTGGCCAACATGGTGAAACGCTGTCTCTACTAAAAATACAAAAATTAGCTGGCTGTGGTGGCGTGCACTTGTAATCCCAGCTACTGGGGAGGCTGAGACAGGAGAATCACTTGAACCTGGGAGGTGAAGGTTGCAGTGAGCTGAGATCGCACTACTGCACTCCAGCCTGGGTGACAGAGGGAGACTCGGTCTCAAAAAAAAAACAAAAACATTGTGCTTTGGTGGGGAGGGTCCTGTAGCTAAGGGCAGGAACGCTGTGACCAAGTGTCCTGCCCCACGGATTGCATCCTCTGCATGGGTGAGCAACTTAGAGTGAGCCTGGAGTGCAGACTGTCAGCCTCTGAGGTTTCAGGTTGTGTTTTAGACTGGACCTCAATGCCCAGCTCCACCCAGCTAACTCCAGTGGTAAATGTTTGGCGGAAACACCTCTTATTTGTTGCAGTTAACATAGTTAACATACAAGGAGCTGGGCAAGTGATACAGGGGAATAAATTTTTTTTTTTTTTTTTTTGAGACAGAGTCTCACTCTATGCCAGGAAACATTGTAGTGCAGTGGCATGATCTCGGTTCACTGCAACCTCCTCCTCCCAGGTTCAATCAATTCTCCTGCCTCAGCCTCCCAAGTAGCTGGGACTACAGGCATGCGCCACCATGCCCGGCTAATTTTTGTATTTTTGCTAGAGACGGAATTTTGCCATGTTGTCCAGGCTGCTCACAAACTCCTGATCTCAGGTAATCCGCCTGCCTCGGCCTCCCAAAGTGCCGGGATTACAGGCTTGAGCCACCATGCTCAGCCGGAAAATTTTTTAAAAGAAAGAAATAGGCTGGTCGCGGTAGCTCACATCTGTAATCCCAACACTTTGGGAGGCCGAGGAGGGAGGATCACTTGAGCCCAGGAGTTCAAGCACAGCCTGGGAAACACAGTGAGACCCCCACCCATCTCTATTTAAAAACATAAATAAAAATTAAATAAAATTAAAAATAAAAACATGGTGCAAAGACTCATTTTGTTACTCATGGTTGCATTTTAATTAAGAATATAAGTAGTCTTTGAAGTTCTTTTGGGACCTACACTGCTACAAGCGCATAATGTCAAACGTAGATTTCAAAAGAGGCCCCCCACGGGGGGTTCATTAATTGCAAAATCAGAGCAGAGGTCCCTTACTTCCCTCACCTACCCTTATCCTAAGTGGTGGTGGCGGCAGCGCGGAGCAGCTTCTGAAAGTTCGGGAGCTCTTTTATTCCTCCTCTGCAAAGCAAAGGTGTCACAGGGCGCGGCTTTGCCAGAAAGCGCACTCCGAACCGTTCACTTATCAGTCTGCAGGCGCTGAGCCCCCGGAGGAGGAGGGGCGGGGCCAAGGCCTCCTCCCAGCCCGGCTTTGCAGAGCAGAGATCTGATGTCTGGAGTCTACAGAAGCACTTGCAGAACTGATAAGAAGCCACCCCGCTTATCGGCAGATCTTAGGAGAGTGTTCGGTGGAGGCCCTGCAGATCTGCGCAGCTCACCTCCCTGGGAACTGCTCGCCTGAGCGTCGGAGCCGGCGCTGGCACCCTGCAGTCAGAAAGTTGCAGCCGCGGGAGCCCCGGATGCCTAGGACGCAAGGTAAGTCGCGGCCTTTTGCCTTCCCTGCGCCAACTTTCAGATTTCGCCGACTTTACTTTTCCTCTTCCAGGCTTGCTCTCTGAGTCTACATTTATTCTTCTTAATCGCATAGGCAAATTATTTCCTAGAATCTTCAGGCTTTCTTTCTATTGGTTTATTTTTTGGGTAGCTTCACTGTCTAATCTCACAGCCGCTGCCTGTTTCCAAACAGCACGAATGAATGATACAGTCCTGCACAGGAGCACCCTCAGTGCAAGATTGGGGCAATCTCAAACTCAGAATTGAAGTGTCCGACTTTGTCGTCGTCTCCTTTCCCATTAGAATTAGAATTTTAAAATAAGTACTTACCAGGTACATTGTTATAACGATACAATTTCAAGTTGAGAATTAAATAAATCATGCTTTCATTCATTAAATGTATTTACTATCTTTTCTTTTCTTTCTTTTTTGAGGCAGAGTCTCGCCCTGTCGCCCAGGCTGGAGTGCAGTGGCGCGATCTTGGCTCACTGCAACCTCCCTCTACTGCGTTCAAGGGATTCTCCTGCCTCAGCCTCCCGAGTGCTGGGCACATGCCACCATGCCCAGATAATTTTTATATTTGTAGTAGAGACAGGATTTCACCATGTTAGCCAGGCTTGTCTCAAACTCCTGGGCTCAAGCGATCCACCCGCCTCAGCCTCCCAAAGTGCTGGGATTACAGGCATGAGCCACCGTACCTGGCTGCTATATTTTCTTTATGTATGTTTGCATATTATTACTTTTTAAATATTTGATGACTGATAATTGGAATGAGAATCAGGGAGGAAAATAATAAAATCCAATATTCCTATATTACAGTGCCAGGTAGGTTTTCAATATCATGACCCATAGTCCTGTCACTTTCATGTTGGTGAAACAAAGTAGTCAGGACTTTAAAAATTTTCAAATGATTTAATGTATGCTTGATGCCTACCTTCCTTTCCTTCCTTCTTTTCTTTGTTGTTTTAAGAGACAGGGTCTCACCTGGTCACCCAGGCTGGAGTGCAGCGGTGCAATCATAGCTTATTGCAATCTCAAACTCCTGAGCTCAAGTGATCCTCCTGCCTCCGTCTGCCAAGTAGCTGGGACTACAAGTATGCAACCACCATGCCTGGCTCATTTATTTTATTTTTTGTAGAGATGGCATCTCACTATGTTGCCCAGGCTGGTCTTAAACACCTGGGCTCAAGCAATCCTCCCACCTCAGCCTCCCAAAGTACTGGGATTAGAGGGGTGAGCCCCCATGCCTGGCCTTTTTTAATTTTATTTTTAAGAAAATACTTGGACTAGCTGGGCATGGTGGCTCGCGTGTGTAATCCCAACACTTTGGGAGGCTGAGGCAGGCGGAACACCTGAGGTCAGGAGTTCGAGACCAGCCTGGCCAGTATTGTGAAACCCTGTCTCTACTAAAAATACAAAGTTAGCCGGGCATGGTGGTGCATGCCTGTAATCCCAACTCTCGGGAGGCTGAGGCAGGAGAATTGCTTGAACCTAGGAGGTGGAAACTGCAGTGAGCTGAGATTGCGTCATTGCACTCCAGCCTGGGCGACAAGAGTGAGACTCCATCTCAAAAAAAAAAAAAAAAAAAAAGAAAGAAAGAAAATATTTGGACTAGAATTAGGGTGAAAGGGATCTCAAGTTTGCCTAGACCAGCCTGTTATCAAAGACTTTTTTAAAGCCAGTGTTTTATTGCTATATAACTAAATACAATAAAATGCACTTTTTAAGTGCACATTTCGATGAGTTTTGACAAATTTATTTATACTTGTAATCATCACCACAATAACATTTCCATCACCCAGAAGTTTCCTAGGGCCTCTTTCTAGTCAGCCCCCTGTTGCAACCGTTGCAACCCCTATCCCTACTGATCTGATTGTTGTCATTACAGCGTTTGTATTTTCTAGTGTTTCATATAACTCAGACAGTATGTGCTCTTGTGTCTGGCTCCTTTCCATCAGTATAATTTTTTTTTTTTTTTTTTTTTTTTGGGATGAGTTTGCTCTTGTTGCCCAGGCTGGAGTGCAGTCTCAGCTCACTGCTACCTCCGCCTTACAGGTTCAAGTGATTCTCCTGGCTCAGCCTCCTGAATAGCTGGGATTATAAGGCGAGGCCACCACACCGGCCCAACCTGTTTTAAGTAGAGACAGGGTTTCGCCATGTTGGGTCGAGGAGCTGGTCACTGCCCCTGTTGCTTAGGTGATCTGCCCACCTTGGCCTCCCAAAGTTTTCTATTTTTAGTAGAGACAGGGTTTCACCATGTTGGTCAGGCTGGTCACTGCTGACCTTAGGTGATCTGCCCACCTTGGCCTCCCAAAGTACTGGGATTACAGGTGTGAGCCACCGTGCCTGGCCTTCCATTGGTATAATTGTTTTTTTTTTTTTTTTAGACTGAGTCTCCCTGTGTCCCCCAGGTTGGAGTGCAGTGGCGCAATCTCGGCTCACTGCAACCTCTGCCTCCTGGGTTCTAGCGTTTCTCCTGCCTCAGCCTCCCAAGTAGCTGGGACTACAGGCATGTGCCACCATGCCCGGCTAATTTTTTGTATTTTTAGTATAGACGGGGTTTCACTGTGTTAGCTAGGATGGTCTCAATCTCCTGATCTCATGATCCGCCCATCTCAGCCTCCCAAAGTGCTGGGATTATAGGCATGAGTCACCAGACCCAGCCCTATTGGTATAATTTTAAAAATATTTATCCATGTTGTAGCATGTGTCAGTAATTCATTTTTTTTATTACTGAGTAGTGTTCCATTGTAGGGATATACCACAATGTGTTTAGCTATTTATTTGTTGATGAACATTTGGATTTTTTTCTAGTGTCGGGCAGTCACAAATAAAGCTGCTATGGATATGTTTTCATTTCTTTCTAATAAAACTTCAAGATTGGGATTGCTGAGTTTTTTTTTTTTCTTCTGAGATGGAGTCTCGCTCTGTCGCCCAGGCTGGAGTGCAGTGGCCGGATCTCAGCTCACTGCAAGCTCCGCCTCCCGGGTTGACGCCATTCTCCTGCCTCAGCCTCCTGAGTAGCTGGGACTACAGGCGCCCGCCACCTCGCCCGGCTAGTTTTTTGTATTTTTTTTAGTAGAGACGGGGTTTCACCGTGTTAGCCAGGATGGAATGGGCTGGGTTTTTTAAAAATTTTTATTTTTTGAGATGAAGTTTCACTCTTGTTGCCCAGGCTGGAGTGCAATGGCGCAATCTTGGCTTACTGCAACCTCTGCCCTCTGGGTTCAAGCAATTCTCCTGCGTTAGCCTCCCTAGTAGCTGGGATTACAGGCATGTGCCATCATGCCTGGAAATTTTGTATTTTTAGTAGAGATGGGGGTTTCACCATGTTGGTTAGGCTGGTTTTGAACTCCTGACCTCAGGTGATCCACCTGCCTCAGCCTCCGAAAGTGCTGGGATTACAGTCATGAGCCACCGCGCCTGGCCTTGCTGGGTCTTATGGTAAGTATATGTTTAACTTTATAAGAAACTGCAGGCCCAGTGTGGTGACTCATGGCTGTCATCTCAGCACTTTGGGAGGCTGATGTGGGAGGATCCCTCGAGGCCATGAGTTTAAGGTTAGCCTGGGCAACATAGTGAGACCCTGTTTCTACCAAAAAAAAAAAAAAATTAGCTGGACCTGGTGGTGTGCATCTGTAGTCCCCGCTACTCAGGAGGCTGAGGCAGAAGGATTGTTTAAGCCCAGGAGTTCTAGGCTGCAGTGAGCTATGATTGCACTGCTGCACTCCAGCCTGGGCGACAAAGACCGTGTCTCAGACGCGCACACACACACACACACACACACACACACACACAGAGCTGTTGTCTTTGCTCCCTTGTAATTGGGCAGCAGATCCTGTCTCTGATTCATCATGGAATGCTGTTGTCTCTGTCCCGTTTTTATTTATTTATTTATTTATTTATTTATTTTTGAGACGGAGTCTCGCTCTATCACCTAGGCTGCAGAGCAGAGGCACGATCTCGGCTCACCGCCAACTCCGCCTCTGGGATTCAAGCAATTCTCCTTCCTCAGCCTCCCGAGTAGCTGGCACCGCAGGCATGTGCAACCATACCCAGTGAATTTTTTTTTTTCTTTTCTTTTGAAACGGAGTGTCTCTCTGTTGCCCAGGCTGGAGTGCAATGGCATGATCTGGGCTCACTGCAACCTCTACCCACTGGATTCAGCGATTCTCCTGCCTCAGCCTCCCAAATAGTTGGGATTACTGGCATGTGCTGCACCGCCTGGCTAATATTTTTGTATTTTTAGTAAAGATGGGGTTTCACCATGTTGGCCAGGCTGGTCTGGAACTCCTGACCTCAAGTGATCCACCAGCCTTGGCCTCCTAAAGTGCTGGGATTACATGCATGAGCCACTGAGCCCTCCTGAGTCTGCTTCTTTGTCTATGCATTTAGTTCTCCCAAGAGATTCTCTTTCCTTCTCCCTCTCCCTTGTCTTTGTACCCTGCTAATCAGGTATATGTGATTTCCTATCAGACCTGAACCTTGCAGAATTGAAGCTACAGAAAAGAATACATTGACTTTGCAGTGCTTGAAGGGGGTAAAAGTAAAGCATTACCCAGAGGAAGCAGGGTTAGGAAATTTTGCCTCTGACCCATTTTTGTGCCAGTCCCACCAGGAGAGAGTGAAGCCAGATAGTCTCCCTCTTTCCTGTTTTGTGTCTGGACTTTGATGTTCATTTCCTCATTCTTTCTTTCTAGGCTCTTGCTCTTGCAGAATCCACATGTCTTTCTTGAAGAAATCTGTAGTCAGAACTTTGCGCTGCATTTTTATCTAGGGAAGGAACAGGACAAGAGTGTGGTCTCCTAGAAATCTAGCACTGGAGAAACGTGAGTCTGATTTGTCTTTTTTTGGTCTTGTTTTGGTTTTTTGCTGTCATTGTAATATTTTTATGCATTGGACTGTTATATGTTACACTGTTACACTATGTTGGCTAGACTGGTCTCGAACTCCTGACCTCGTGATCCACCCGCCTCAGCCTCTCAAAGTGCTAGGATTACAGATATGAGCCACCATGCCCAGCCTTGCCTCTTGGCTGTTACCAAAGGATGTTTGCTTCTAAAGAAGCTGGAAGCTGCAGTCCCAATGAGCCTTTGCAGGGGAGCAAGAGAGCCACAGGTAAGGACAACTGAGTTAGACAGGTGGGACAGGGCCTATGGGGAGGACAGAGTGCATCACATTCCCCCACCCAGACTCACGGGCCATGGCATCATGGCCCCATGCAAGGCCCCACTCCTGTCTGTCTGATTGTGTGATTCCCAGTTATTCCCGTTCCCCCAACAGATAAACACTCCAATGGGTTCAATGCATACACTTTTATTAAATCTCACTCTGTCACCCAGGCTGGAGTGCAGTGATGTGATCATAGCTCACTGCAGCCTCCAACTCCCAGGCTCAAGTGATCCTCCCATCTCAACCTTCTGAATAGATGTGATCACAGGTACACACCACCATACTCAGGTAAATTTTAATTTTTTGTAGGGACAGGGTCTTGCTATGTTGTCCAGGCTTGTCTCGAATTCCTGACCTCAAGTGATCCTCCCACCTCAGCCTCCCACAATACTGCGATTACAGGGATGAGCCACTGCCCTTGGCCTAAATGTGCTCTTAAACACCTGTGTTGTTATTTTGTATGTGGGTATTTTAATGTACACAAATGGCAATGAGTTGTGGCCTTATGGCATTGCTTTCTGTTTTCAGGCAGCACTAAGCTTTTTTTTTGTTTTTTTGAGATGGAGTCTTGCTCTGTTGCCTGGGCGGGAGTGCAGTGGCGTGATCTCGGCTCACTGCAACCTCTGCCTCACAGGTTCAAGCGATTCTCCTCAGCCTCCTGTGTAGCTGGGACTACAGGTATGCACTACCAGGCCCAGCTCATTTTTTTTTGTATTTTTAGTAGAAACAGGGTTTCACCATGTTGGTCAGGCTGATCATGAACTCCTGACCTCAAATGATCCACCTGCCTTGGCCTCCCAAAGTGCTGGGTTTACAGGCATGAGCCACTGCGTCCAGCCAACACTAAGCTTTTTAAATGACGCTGTGTGTGCATCTAGCCTGTCATGTCTCACTGCTATACCACCTTCTGTGTTTCTACCCAGCTCACCTGCCCACTCTCCTGGTGAGGAACCCCCAGGGCACCTCCATCTCCCAGAGCACAAATGTCATTGAGATGAGCAGCTTGGGACATGGTATGGACCCATGCAGAGGTGACCCTAGGTAATGATGGCATCAGAGTGAGAGGCTGGACGACAGTGCGGCTGGGGGAGCTTCGAGGTGCTGTGATGTGTAAGAGATCATCAATTCCAGGATGTCACCGCGAGGAGAATATGCGTGGACCAAAGATGAGGGGTCCCCAGGAGGGTGCACCAATAGTGAGCCCCCAGATTCCATCCCTAGTCAGGTTCCCTGCTAAGTAGCAATTAGAAAAATTCCTCTTTACAGAAAATAGAAGGCCAATTAGGTCCCCAACCACAGAGCCAGTTCTCTATCCTCTAGTGAAAGCTTCCAGTGGACAAGAAAAGCTTGGGAAAGCCAGAAGCAATAGGAACCACAGCTCAGGCCAGGCAGCGGCTTCATAAATCACAAGGACGATTCTTTTTTGTTGTTGTTGTTAAAGAGATAAGGTCTCACTGCATCGCCAGGCTGATGTGCAGTGATCCAATCATGGCTCACTGCAGCCTTGAACTTGTGGGCTCAAGTGATCCTCCCAGCTCAGCCTCCTGAGTAGCTGGGACCACAGGTGCACACCACCACGCCTTGCTAACTTTTATTTTTATTTTTATTTTTGAGAGGCAGTCTCGCTCTGTCACCCTGACTGGAGTGCAATGGTGTATTCTTGGCTCACTGCAACCTCCACCTCCCGGGTTCAAGTGATCCTCCTGCTTTGGCCTCCCAAGTAGCTGGAATTACAGGTGCAAGCCACCAGGCCCAGCTAATTTTTGTATTTTTATAGAGACAGGGTTTCACCATGTTGCCAGGCTGGTCTTGAACTCCTGACCTCAGGTGATCCGCCCACCTCAGCCTCCCAAAGTGCTGGGATTACAGGTGTGACCCACCGTACCTGGCCCCTTGCTAATTTTTAAACATTTTTTGTAGAGATGGAGTCTCACTATGTTTCCCAGGCTGGTCTCAAGCTCCTGGCCTCAAGCAGTCCTCCCACCTCAGCCTCCCAAAGTGCTGGGATTATAGGCATGAGCCACTATGCCCAGCCCCAGAAGGGCAATTAGTACACAGTAACAGTGGAAGGAACAGAGACACAGTCGGTGGGTGGTGGGAAGATAAGAACATTCACTCTGAGGGCTTCTAGTAATGTTGGAGAAGTGAGCATCAGCTGAGCAGAAGGGAGGGAGGGAAGGAAGCACAGGAGGTTTGAAGAGAGAGAGAGGAAGTATGAAATTGCTGTTTTTAAACCTCCTGGGGAAATGTAGAGGGGTTGCCAGGCAGCCCACTTGAAGTCTGTGAATTTAAAGTGAAAGCCCAGCCAGGCTGGGCACAGTGGCTCACGCCTGTAATCCCAGCACTTTGAAGGCAATGACCACAGAGAGAGAGGATCATCTGAGGCCAGGAGTTCCAGACCAGCCTGGCCAACATGGTGAAACCCCATCTCTACTTAAAATATAAGAATTAAATGGGCATGGTTGTGGGCACCTGTAATCCCAGCTACTCAGGAGGCTGAGGTGTGAAAATCACTTGAACCCAGGAGACAGAGGTTGCAGTGAGCTGAGATTGTACCACTGCACTCCAGCGTGGGCGACAAGAGCAAACTCCGTCTCAAAAAAAAAAAAAAAAAAAAAAAAAAAAAAGTGAAAGTACAGCCAGACATGGTGGCTCACACCTACAATCCCAGCACTTTGGTGGTTGAGGTGAGGAGGATTGCTTGAGGCCAGGAGTTCAAGAGCAGCCTAGGCAACATGGTGAGACGTCATCTCTACAGAAAATTAGAAAATTATCTGGGTATGGTGTGGTACACATCTGTGATCCCAGCTCCCAGGGAGGCTGAGGAGGGAGGATCGTTTAGCCCAGGAGATGGAGGCTGCAGTGAGCTCTGATCACACCACTGCACTCCAGCCTGGGTGACAGAGTGAGACTTTGTCACTAAAATAAATAAATAAGTACATGAATAAATAGATGAATAAATAAAGTGAAAGTTCAGCTGAGTGCATGCTTTCCCAGTGAGACTTGACTGTCCAGGTGCAGATGCAAGAGTTCCAGCCTGTTCATGTCACCCTCGCTCAGGGGAACAATGTCAGGGGACAAAGGAGTTGATTTTTTTTTCCTTCCTCTTTTTTTGAGACGGAGTCTCCCTCTGTTGCCCAGGCTAGAGTACAGTGGTGTGATCTCGGCTCACTGCAAACTTCACCTCCCAGATTCAAGCGATTCTCCTGCCTCAGCCTCCCTAGCAGCTGGGATTAGAGGCACCTGCCACCACACCTGGCTAATTTTTGTATTTTTGGTAGAGACGGGGGTTTCGCCATTTTGGGCAGGCTGGTCTCGAACTCCTGACCTCAAGTGATCCACCCACTTCGGCCTCCCAAAGTGCTGGGATTACAGGTGTGAACCACCTCGCCCTGCAGGAGTTGATTTTAATTATGAACCATGATTAAGGAAGGCAATGACCGCAGAGAGAATAACAGTGAGGTGGGGAGGCCAAGTGGAGAGTTCTGGGATGAGAGGAGAGGTCAGCGGGGAGCTGTCCGAAGCCTCCTCTCTGGGTGATGGAGGGTCCCAGGTGTGACTGCAGACAGGGAGGGGTAGCTGAGAGGCACGTTGGAAAAGCTCACTGGAGCTACAGCAGTCCTGGTGCCCAGAGAGATGGGGAGTAGCCTGACCTGTCTACGTGGGTGATGACGCCAACGTCTTGTATGAAATCACTGTTGCAGACCTCCTGGGGGAATGTAGAGAGGTTGCTGCTCTACAAGACAGCAAGAAGGATGGAGAACACAGTCAACTAGGAGCCCAAGTCCTCAGTGGATGAGGAGGTGCAAGCGGAAGACCAGCAGACAGCAGTCACCGAGAGGGACAGCAAGTGACTCCGCTGCCTTTGAAAGAGAAAGGTCTTGGACATGACCACAGGAAGCATGGAGGATATAGACCCTACCTTAGATTCTACGGTATGTGGGGTATAGAAGAAAAAAGAGTCCCTGCACCAGACAGTGCCAGGGGATGTGGGGTCCTGAGGGCTGGAGGGAAGAGACCCTCCTGCAAGAGGCTGAGTGGAGGCTCGAGAGCCAATGATGTCATCAGAGGACCTGGGGCAGGATGTAGGGTGAGGAGGAGGGTCCAGTCATGTTAGGCAATACACAGATCTGGGGGGAGGGCCCATGGCACAGAGGCTGTGTCCTTTGAGGGTGAGTGAACCAACAGGGGAAAGTGAGGCATGATGAAAACAGCCGTGGATGGCCGGCTGTGGTGGCTCATGCCTGTAATCCCAGCACTTTGGGAGGCCGAGGAGGGTGGATCACCGGAGGTCAGGAGTTCAAGACCAGCCTGACCAACATGGGGAAGCCCATCTCTACTAAAAATACAAAATTAGCCAGGCATGATGGTGCGCACCTGTAATCCCAGCTACTTGGGAGGCTGAGGCAGGAGAATCACTTGAACCCAGGAGGGAGAGGTTGCAGTGAGCCGAGATCGCGCCACTGCACTCCAGCCTGGGCAACAAGAGCGAAACTCCATTGGAAAGGGGAGTGGGGGGAGGGGAGGGGAGAAGGAAGGAAGGATTGAAAGAAAGATAGAAAGAAATAACGGAGGGGGAGAGAGAGAGAAAAAAAGGAAGGAAGGAAGGAAGGAAAAAGGAAGGAAGGAAGGAAAAGAAAGAAAAAGAGAAAGGAAGGAGGGAGGGAGGGAGGAAGGAAGGGAAGGAGGGGGGGGGAGGGAGGGAGGGAGGGAAAGGAAGAAAGAAAATAACCGTGGATGACCTCAGACAGCCAGGTGACATTTCAAACTGTGAGTTTGGAGAGTGTGGACGCTCCAGGCAACTGTGAGGTGGCTGCTCCCCCTGGTGGTCATATATGACTAAAGCAAGTACAAGTCCAGAATCACACCTGGAGAACAGGTGCCATCGCCTGAAAGCAACAGTAGCCACGACAATAAGGCCAGGTGCAGAACCCAGGTCTCCCCACTTTATTAGAACCTGTGGAGAGATCATGAACGTATTCCCCAATAAGTTCATTTTCAGAGGTAAAAAATCACAACAATCTCCCACAGTGTCACTTCTCCCGGGAACATGTGTATGTGAATGGCTTAAAAACTGTTGCCTTTGACAAAGAAATGTACCAATTTCCAATGGTAGAATATTTAATTGAGGAAATGTCTCATTAACAGATGTTAAGTGTAGGGTCTCAGCATCAGAATTTCCCTTGAATGTTTCATTATAAAAACGTTTGAGGTGTGGGGCTTACACCTGTAATCCTAACACTTTGGGAGGCCGAGGTGGGAGGATCACTTGAGGACAAGAGTTTGAGACCAGCCTGGGTAATTAGCCAAGTGCGGTGGAGCACACTTGTAGTCCCAGCTTCCTGGGAGCTGAGAAGGGAGCGTCCCTTGAGCCCAGGAGTTCAAAGCTGCAGTGAGTTAGGATAACATCACTGCACTCCAGCCTGGGAAACAGAGCAAGACCCTGTCTCTAAAAAATAAATGAATTAATGTTTTTAAGAAATGTTCAAACTCAATGAAAAATTGAAAGAATTTTGCAGTGAACATCCACACCCACCCCTGAAGTCTACAATTAACATTTCATTATGCTCAGTTTATCGTATAATCTATTCAACTATCCATCCCTCAAACCATTCTATTTGGAGGCATTTGGAAATGAATTGTGGCATTAGTACATTTTACCCCTAAACACTTCAGCACACATATTATAACAAGATTCTCATATTTATTTATAGTCCTTTTTTCTTTGGACATAAAATATGCTCACGCCTGTAATCTCAGCACTTTGGGAGGCCGAAGTGGGCAGATCACTTGAGCTCAGGAGTTCAAGATCAGCCTGGGCAATGCCCAGGCGCAGTGGCTTGCGCCTGTAATCCCAGCACTTTGGGAAGCCAAGGCAGGCGGATCACGATGTCAGGAGATCGAGACCATCCTGGCTAACACGGTGAAACCTTGTCTCTACTAAAAATACAAAAAATTAGCTGGGTGTGGTGGCACGCACCTGTAGTCCCAGCTACTTGGGAGGCTGAGGCAAGAGAATCACTTGAGCCTGGAAGGCGGAAGTTGCAGTGAGGTGAGATCGCACCACTGCATTCTAGCCTGGGCAAGAGAGTAAGACTCCATCTCAAAAAAAAAAAAAAAAAAAAGAGATCTGTCTGGGTAATATAGTGAAACCCTGTTTCTACTAAAAATACAAAAATTACCTGGGCATGGTGGCACATGCCTGTGGTCCCAGCTACTCAAGAGGTTGAGGTATGAGACTCACTTGAACCCAGGAGGCAGAGGTTGCAGTGAGCCAAGATCACACCACTGCACTCCAGCCTGGATGACAGAGCAAGACCCTGTCTCAAAAAAAGAGAGAAAGCACATAAGTCTCTTCCTTTTTGCTTCAATGTGTTCCTGAGGATCACATTGCAATGTAGATCATATTTTTCCAATGAATAAACTTGCATTCCAGACCAGAGACAGAGAATCATCTAAATCATGGCTTTAAATAATAACATAGCATGAAAGAAAAGAATCAATATTCTAGGCTGGGCACGATGGCTTAGGAAATCCCAGCACTTTGGGAAGCCAAGGCGGGAGCCCAGGAGTTCAAGACCAGCCTGGGCAACATAGTGAGATCCCTGTCTCTACAAAAAATAACAAATAAAAAAAAAATCTTAATGCATATAGTAAAATGTACAAATCTTATGTGTACCCCTCAATGAATTCTAACAAATGCATGCACCCATGTAACCCATATTGCCATCAAGACAGAACATCATTATCATCCCCAAAAACCTTCCCCTGTGTACCTTCTCAGTCGATCCACTCCCACCCTCCAATCAGGCAACCATTGATCTGATCATTCCTGTTATAAATTAGTTTCAGCCTGTTCTACAACTTAATGTAAACTGAATCGTAAAGTATGGACTCTGGTGTAGCAGCATCAGAATTCAAAAAGCTACCCAGAGGCCAGGTGCAGTGGCTCATGCCTGTAATCCCAGCACTTTGGGAGGCCACGATGGGTGGATCGCTTGAGTCAGGAGTTTGAGACCAACCTTGTCAATATGGTGAAACCCCATCTCTACTAAAAATACAAAAATTAGCCAGGTGTAATAGTGTGTGCCTGTAGTCTCAGCTACTCAGGAGGCTGACATGAGAGAATTACTTGAACCTGGGAGGCAGAGGTTGTGGTGAGCTGAGATCACACCACTGCACTTCAGCCTGGGTAACAGAATGAGACCCTGTCTCAAAATAAATAAGTAAATAGATAAATAAATAAATAAATAAATAAATTTTAAAAAAGACCCCCAGGTGTTTCTAGGCTGGGAACTTTTGCTCAGACCCAGGCCTTTTCCCACATTCTAGAAGACAGCAATTTGGCTCTGGTCTGAGGTCATAGCTGATTGACTACAGATCTGTGACTAGATGTCAGGTCTCCTTGCTGTTCACCCTCTGTTTACTGTACAACAGGGTTTCTTCCAGAACAGTGGTTCTCAATGTTAACATCCATTATAATCTCTGGAGGAACATACCTCTGGGATAGGGCTCAATAATCTGCATTTTTGGCCAGGCGCAGTGACTCACACCTGTAATCCCAGCACTTTGGGAGGCCGAGGTGGGAGGATTGCTTGAGCCCAGAAGTTTGAGACCAGCCTGGGCAACACCATGAAACCCCATCTCAACTGAAAATACAAAATTAGCCGGGCATGGTGGTGCACACCTGTAAGCCCAGCTACTTGGGAGGCTGAGGCAGGAGAATTGCTTGAACCCGGGAGGCAGAGGTTGCAGTGAGCTGAGATCGTGCCTCTGTACTCCAGCCTGGACAACAGAGTGAGAGTCCATCTCAAAAAAAAATAAAAATAAAAATAAAAGCCAATTGCAATTACTGTTGGATTTCTATTGGAATGACTGTTGGGAATCCACCTGTCATTTCTACGTCACAACAAGAAAGAATTGGGGTGAGCTATTTGCTAATGGTGACCATGTAACAGTGAGGTGTCCTCACCCCATGCTTTCTGAAGATATTTCTTAATGTCCCTGCTCAGCAATCATTCAACAAGAGCTCTTTGCATATGTTTCAGCAAAAGTATTCCCACCTTGCCTCATTTTCTCTTTTTTTTTTCTTTTTTTTTGAGACAGAGCCTCGCTCTGTCGCCCAGGCTGGAGTGCAGTGGTGCAATCTCGGCTCACTGCAAGCTCTGCCTCCCAGGTTCACGCCATTCTCCTGCCTCAGCCTCCCGAGTAGCTGGGACTACAGGCGCATGCCACCTCGCCCAGCTAAGTTTTTGTATTTTTAGTAGAGACGGGGTTTCACAGTGTTCGCCAGGATGGTCTCGATCTCCTGACCTTGTGATCCGCCTGCCTCGGCCTCCCAAAGTGCTGGGATTACAGGTGTGAGCCACAGTGTCCAGATTTCTCTTTTTAAAAAAATTTTTATTTATTTATTTTTTGAGACGGAATTTCACTCTTGTTGTCCAGGCTGGAGTGCAATGATGCGATCTCGGCTCACTGCAACCCCTGCCTCCTGGGTTCAAGTGATTCTCCTGCCTTGGCCTCCCGAGTAGCTGGGATCACAGGCGTGCGCAACCACGCCCGGTTAATTTTCTATTTTCAGTAGAAACGGGGTTTCTCCGTGTTGGCCAGGCTGGTCATAAACTCCTGACCTCAGGTGATCCACCTGGCTCAGCTTCCCAAAGTGCTAGGATTACAGGCGTGAGACACCAGACCCAGCCAGCCTCATTTTCTCTTTACCTGGGGGGAGTCTTCCTCCTCTCTCTGCTGACTCATTGACATGTGTATCTCACTGTGGCTAGGTTTCCTCCTCCATTCAGCCTAGTTAGTCTACTTCCAAGGGCTGAGAGCAGACCAGTGCATACTTATCCCCCAGGACAGAGCCCCCCACCACTGTTCCATGGGCAACATGGGGTGAAAGAGATAGTTTTAGGGTAATACACTATACTTATTTATT